ACGTGGGCACTGCCTCATGCAGCGCCAGCACCATCTGTGCTGGACCCTGCCTGCCGCTGTCACTACGCCCCTGCAGATCCTGAAACCCAGATGTGGCCGCCACCACCAGGGTGGAGTTTCTGCTGTCCTTGGGCATAATTAAGATTTGGGGAGGTGTGTGTGGGGGTGTGCTGTCCAGGTTGGCTAAATCTTGGTCACGTGCCCAAGCAAAGCTGGGAGAACCAACTTCTGGCGTTCAAAGCTTCAAAACTGGGAGTTGAGCTCTGGCACTCTCTACCCGCCCCCCCACATGCATAAGGTAGGGAGTCCCCCAAATGTGGGAGAGAAGTTCAGATACTTTGTAGTTGAGATGACGAGGGAAGCTATCAAGAAAATGATTATCAAGTTACAGGTGTGATTAGTCTTAAAATGAAGGTGAGTTTTACCCTCGTCTCAATTTTGCTGTGAACCTAAAACTGCTCTAAAAAAGTAGCCTTTTTAAAAAGTTATTATTAAGGAGACATACAAGGTGCTATAAGAGTGTATGACATGGAGACCTGACCTAACCGGAATGCTCAGTAAAGCTCTTCTTGAAAATGTGATTGCTTAAGCCAAGACCTGAATAATCGGGGAAGGGAAGAAACAAACAAGGAATGGTGTGTGCAAAAGACCTCACTCAGGAGAGAAGCTGGGTCCCCCCGCTGGTGGGGCTGGAGCTGAGTGTGTGAAGGAGATACAGCATGAGGGCTGCAGAGGTAGGGAAGGGCCACATGTTGCAGGACCACAGGTCAAAGAAGACTGGTTTTATCTTGAGAGCAGAAGACCCACGGTGGAATTTAAGCAAAGGAACGATCAGATTTACATCTTTAATTTACCTCTTCTGGGTTGCTGTGGGAGATGGATTGGAAGGGGTAGGGGTGGCAATAGAGGGTGTGGGGAGCTCAGTTAAAAAGCTCTGTACTAAAGATGATGGCACCTTGAGTGGGAGCAGTGGAGGGTAGGTGGGTCTGGGGGATATTTAGGGAGTAACAGTGTCATCATCTGCCCAAGGACAGCAGAAGCACCATGTTTGGGGGATATTTAGGAGGTAACAGTGTCAACAGTGATTGATGATGAAGGCAGGAAGAGATAATAGGGATGATTAAGGTTGTTGGTGCAATAACAGGGTGGGTGATGTTTTTAAAGAGGAGAATCAGGTTTGGGAGGGGAAATCAAGCTCGGTTTGCACGTACTAAATTTGAGATGCTAGTTTTACATCCAAGTGAGCAGAACAATATTAATGAACATTTATTAAGTACCGTATTTGCCGGCGTATAAGACGATTTTTTGGCCCTGAAAAATATGCCTCCAAGTGGGGGGTCGTCTTATACGCCAGGTACACTTCAGATAGACTGCCCATAGTGCTTGCCCCGTGCCATAGTGGCCTCCCGATGCCCGCCCACTTCATTCCACATACTGTTCAGGCATCAGCAGCGCTGCTGGGTGTATGCTCGGCTGTTATGCGATTTT